CAAAAGTAAAAAGAGTAATGATACCCACGCCTTCTGTCTTCCGAATTTTCACATTTTCCAGAGACAGAAGTGCACTGGGATAAATCTCAGAAACACTGTTAAACCAATTGTTGGGAGAACAATGCCATTTCTTTCCTCCTTAATTGTAACAACAGTCCTCCTGATGTGAACTGTTTGGTCCAATGCCCCTTATCCCCTATTTTTATGTTGGTTGTATGAAAGATGAGTTTGGGTATAAATGTGCCCTGTGGCCTGGAGGGGGACGCTACACAGTGTGGCTTCCACAGCTGACACTGATCGTTAGGGCCAAGATTTAATTCTCATGCACCAAGTGCGGTGGACAGTCATAGTACTGGTGCAGCGACCTAGTTCTGTAATGAGAAAAGGAAAGAGAACTTGCATCTCCATGTATCTCATTTCTTGTTTTTAAAGACAGGAGTGGGAAAGTCTTGTAAATAGATAACGTGACTCAAAGTTTCAAAATCTTCTTGGAAAAAAAATCTTTTGAGGAAATCACATTTTTCCTTTGTTCCTAAATTTTGGCTCATGCCTAATGCCTAAGAACAAAAAGGGAAAAGTAATAAAGAAGTGAAACAGATGAGGCAAGTAATAACCTCTAGCCTAGAAGCTTCGAATCCTTAAAAGAAAAGGTTTAAAATGGAATCTGTTCCAGTGTTTTAATTGTAGTGTTTTTGCCAGGCACAGTGGTGAGTGCCTGTAATTCGAATTACTTGGGAGGCTGAGGCAGGAGGATCAAAAGCTCAAGGCCAGGTCAGGCAACTTAGTGAGACCCTGTCTCAAAAAAAAAAAAAAAAAGGTATTTATTATGGTGAATGGAGAGATGACTTAAAGTTATAGTTTATTTTGCAATACCAATGCCTCTTAACATTAGCATTGTGGATTGTGGAGTGTGGAGTCAGACATAGATTTTACATTCCTGAAAGAAAGATGCAGTAAGTATGATGCTTTTGAAATATTATCTGCATTATTCAAATTCCCTACAGATTCATGTTGCACATACTTTCAGTGGGAGTAAATATTTTCACTGAGTGGGTCGGTACCTAGCTCAAATAAAAACAAGTTGGATGAAAATGATGCCAAGATTGCTAGATAGTTCTGAAAAAGCATGGAATTGATGGTTGTGTTTTTTTTTTTTTTAAAAAAAAAACTACCTGAAAGAACATGGACATATAAGAAGCTGTGCATACTTAATGTTTACAACTCAGTGAGCCTGGGGATAAGTACATACCACTGAAATCATCACTATCATCAATGCCATAAACACTTATCATCTGCCAATGTTTCCTCTCACCCTCTTAATTATTATTTTTCTTCTTTAAGAGGCTAGAGTTTGAATGGATAAAGAAAAAAATCACCAGGTCATTCACTGGTTTCACTTGATTGGGACACAAAAGGATTTCTTAAGAGGATGGCAGACAAAACTTACTCTTCAAAGCACAGGCACACACATTATTTTATTCTTTTGCCTTTCTTGGCATTTAAATCATCAAGATGGACGAAAGTGGCAATTATGGGGGCTTACTGCACATCTGGAAAGTGATTTGGGACAACGTAAAGGCAGCTGTGCTACCCCGCTCTAAATTATTACCCGCTGAGCGCCAAGTGGGGAGTGGCCATGGCGCCATATTGAGGGAGTGAAATATTGGCTGTCTTTGGCCTCTCTTGGGTTGAACAGCTGCTTTCCTCCTCATGCGAAACCGGTATGTTTTTCAGGCCCTCAAATTACTGAGGGAGTTTTGAGTGATTCAGAGTGAGAGAGGGAATTCAAATTTGGCACTGCTAGGAAAAAGATCAGTAGATGGCAAACTTTGAAACTGAAATGAAGAGCTGACTTTGAAGGTGTCTCTAAGATACATGAGAGAAGAGAGAAAAAAGGGCCAAAGTGGTTGAACACAGCTAGGTAAATAATTGTCTTCTGATACGGTTCTAGTGGCCTGGATTATTCCAAGAAAACAGTCAGTTGTGACAGGTCATACAGTACACAAATGTGAAAACTGGTAATTTCTGAGAAAAGCCAGAATTCTAGGTGGAAGTGCTTGGGCTCGGACAGCACAACTCGTGGTTGTGCCTGTGTGCGGGAGAGAGGGATTGATTTCCATTGAAGAACAGCGAGCCACAAGATGCGCACAATGCAACCTCTTTAGCAAGCACACTTGGGTATTAGGAGATGTGGATGGTCTGTTTCCCTGATGGAGGAGGACAGAAGTTTCTGGATGGGGATAGCATTATATTCCTGAGAGACTAAGAAAACTCTGAATAGCCCAGGATCTTCCAGGGACCCTTGTTGTGGTGAGGATCAGGGATATAACTCATAAAAGCAGATTCTTGGGTACAGTTGTTACAAGACCTGCTCCCCTCCACCCCACACACACTGGAAAGGGCACTTCTTTATCTTTCCAGTACCTGCTAAGAAAACAGGAGGTACTGCAGCGAACAGGGATGGTGAGGGCTTTGCTCTTTCACAGTGTAACCGAACTCCTGGCTTATAGAAGGCTGATATTCTGAAGTCAAAGGGCACCCTGCTCCCTTTGACCTAGGACCTGCTTAGGTACTTCTAGAATAACCAGGGCATCCACGGACTCGAGTCCTCTCCTTGAGTGGTCAGAACAGATGCTGCCATGGAAACTGCTCTTCTGCCCTCCTGTCTCCTAAAGTTCCTCCAGCAAGTTGCCTCCAATCTCCTGGGGCACTTGTGCATTGGATGCAGATGGTGAGATGAGAGGTGTGGGGTGAGGGTCTACTTTATGCCTCCCTCCCCTGCTGGAAGAAGCTGCCTGTTGCTATTCAGGTCCTGTCCAGTCTATAGGCCTCAGGATTTTTTTTTTTTTTTTTTGACCCACCTGGGACAGGGAACCAGAAGTGAAGGGGAATGAAAGCTGGGCTGGTACACTTGGGATTTATTTCGCAGAGTGTGTGATGGGGATGGCATGGAGGTTTCTTGGTGGAGGGAGACCTGGCCAGATCTCTACTGGGCAAGGTGAAGGTGGCTGGGTCAAGGGCAAATTGGGCAGGTGAAGAAAGAGACAAAAAATCCAGCTGGGAGATTGCAGAAGTTCCTCCCAGGGCCCACAGGCCTGTGTGGTTGTGTTGAGACAAGTCAGGGCAATCTGGGATCGTACTTTGATTTATCATGCTGTATTTCAGAAACCCCATCTTAATATATTCTGGCCAGCTCCGGCTCTCCCTGGAGATTCTGCTTTCAGTCAGTTTCTTCACTGGGGCAGTAGACGAAGGGTGGGCTGACAGGTGACCTCTGAGGTCCATAGCAAAGTCCTGTCTTGGCTGATGTTGTTTCCCTACTGGAAACTTGACAGTGAACACGGGAAGGGTGGGCTCCCGCCTCCTTTGCTGTGTCTCGCCTGTCATCTCAGGCCGACTGTGGAGAGAGAATGACTTTTGCCCAGGCATGTTTAAACCTTCAAAGATCTTACTGGCCTTGCAAGAGTCTGTCTTTTCTCCAGCTCTCTCCTAGGAACTTTGAGGCACCTACCTGAAATGCAGAACATGTTAGTAATGGGAAACAAGAAGCATTTCTAAAAAAATACTTTCTTTTAATTTCTGTTTCTCCTCTCCCCTTAGTTCCTAAAACCCAGGGAATGCAGAAGTGGGGTGTGACTCTGGCCTGCTGTGACCCAGATCTGACAGGCTTAGGTTTTACCAGACAGACTGTGGATGAGTCTTACCCCCATGAATGCTTACGTCTAAGGCTGCTTTTTGCAGAGCTAGATGTGTTGCTGTCGTGAAAGAACCAGCATTAAGGAGGGGCTGGAGAGCAGTAGAGAATGTGGGTGCATTTTTCAGTCATCTGGAAGCTAAAATACAACTTGGTTGTTTGTTTTGGTCAAATCATGTTACTTGGTTGTGTTGGTAAAGTCATTTATTCATACCAGAGGGAGAGGGGATTAAAAGGGGGCAGAGGAGAGGCAGTGTGTTCCTGAAGAGATGGATTGATAGAAGAAGAATCTCTGTCCTCTCTCTGTGTGCTCAGACGTGTTGAGGAAATGACTTCCCTCAAGGAGGCCGCAGGATGAGACGTTCTCTTGTGGTGAATGACATGAGCTACATCCCTTTCTGGCACTCCCTGTATGCCTGGCAGCCTACGTGCCCCCACACACAAGCTTTTTCCTTAGTGTTCACTGCTAGGTAAGTGCTGTCAACTACTCCAGTGTCACTGGCAGGGTGAGTGGTGACGCTGCGGCCACTTAACCAGTGTGGGGCTATAGAGCTGGTATAAACTCCTGGACTTCCACCTGTGCACCTGCTTCCAGGAAGGGACAGGCGATGCTTTTACTGCATTTCTAACATGCGCTCTTGCACCTGTACTTGGAATGGCTCATGAATAATAAGTTTCTGATGAATAATGAATATTAATGACTACAGTAAGGAATGATGAATACTAACGAGTCCTGATGACTGCTGAAGAAGGTCTTTTGGGAGGGTCTGAAGTACATCCCAGAGGCAGCATCCCTGTGGATACCTGAGTTCTCAGGCTTTATTCAGAATGGCGGAGAGGAGGGCCTGGCATCTGGCTCTTTCATAAACTTCCTAGAGGTGCTGATGTGGCCCTGAACACAACTGAGTGGCAAGGAGCCCGTCACTCACATGATGTCTTGGCCTCTCACCTCTCCAAGAGAGGTGGGGCTGATGCCATGGCTTTGACACCAGGAGGCCCAGGGGCTGGAGACCTGGCATCTTTGCTTGTGGGCCCTGGGATCCAGGGTCAGTCACGCACCTTCTTTCCTGTGTACTCCTTGATACAGGGAGGAAAAGAACAGATTCTATCTCAGAGGGCTGGCCTCCCCGCGGATGAGCTCCCACATGTAAAACCTAGCCTGGCCCACGTCACCGGTCTTAATCTAAAGGCTGTGTAGAGGGCCATCAGATGGCCACGGGGCTTTTCCCAGGTGAACTGACTTGACCTGACCTGACCACCTTTGTTCTTTTCCTGTCTCTTTTTCCCCCGCCCTCCTCCCCCTCAGGATGGGTCACTGGGAAATATCGACGACCTGGCCCAGCAGTATGCAGACTATTACAATACCTGCTTCTCAGACGTGTGCGAGAGGATGGAGGAGCTGCGGAAACGACGGGTTTCCCAGGACCTGGATGTGGTGAGTGGTGGCCCTGGGAGTATGTCCTGCTGAGCACGGTGGTTCCCCTTCTTTTAGCTGTTCCTGGGGCATCCATCTGCAGGCTACTTATTCTTGTCCTTTAAAAACAATTCAGATCCCCAAAGAGCAGCCCCGTTTGTCTGCAGGTATTAAATTGAATAAGTGTTGGCTGAAGCAGTATGACCAAATCTGCGCAGTCATTTAAGACTGTTTTTGTTGTTGTTGTTGTTTGTTTGTTTTGTTTTGTTTTCATTTTTTAAACTTGGGGACAAAGATGATTTTACGATTGACCAGTGTGTACTGCATTTTTATTGACTCTCAGGGGGGGTGTCTGGGCAAGTTCTTTTCTCTCTTCCCTTTCATTTTTCTTTTCTTCCTTTTCCTTCTTTTCTATTTTTAAAAAAAGAAAATAAAAATTTAAAGAAGCAAGAAATCACCAACCTCTCATCTGGTGATAAAACCTGATGTTTTAGAGGTGGGCTATCAGAGTTTCTCTGGACATTTTAAAATCAGCAATATAATCCTGATATACATCACCTCTGGCTTTTTTACAGTTCTTCTTCCACATCGTTGAGATCTCTTTGTGATCACCATCTTTTGTGACTCTGGTCTCTCCTCTCACCTAGGGATGTTGACATTCACTGGGCTACTTTGTAAAGACCTTTACATGTATCATGAGTGGAGCATTTGAGCTTTGTGATAAATAGTAAATAAATAAGCCGGGCACGGTGGAACATACTTGTAATCCCAGTAGCTCAGGAGGCTGAGGCAGAAGAATCTCGAGTTCAAAGCTAGCTTCAGCAAAAGCAAGGTGCTAAGCAACTCAGTGAGACCCTGTCTCTAAATAAAATACAAAATAGGCCTGGGGATGTGGCTCAGTGGTAGAGTGCCCCTGAGTTCAATCCCTGGCATGCCCCCCAAATAAATAAATAAATAAATAGCTTAGGAACTCTGTATAATCTCAGTGTATGCTGGTGTTCCCTTATTTTATATTTGCAATTAAATAACTTATGGAGACTTTTGTACTGATCAATTAAATTTGCTGCCTATTGGCTTCATTTTCAAATTGTTTCATTTACTATATGTGCCTCAGGGCCTCCTAAGGTGGCAAAAGAAAAGGCTCAGCCCTCTGTATTTACTCATCCAGATAGCTCCTTTGGGATCCTCTAATATAGCAAGAGGCTGCATGGACCTGTTTGGAATGACAGTATCCCTTTGTCTTTAAAAACTGTTTAACAAATACTGAATGAATTAAAGCCTTATTTGTCCTGTTAATTTTTTTTTTTTTGGTAGGGACTGGTGTTGTGGCTCAGCAATAAAGCGCATGCCTGGCATGTGTGAGGTCCTGGGTTCAAAGCTCAATACCACATAAATAAATAAAATAAAGGTCCATCGGCAACTTTAAAAAATATATTTTTTAAGTAAATCTACGTAGGGTAAGAACTGAAAAAAAAAAAAAACAAGAATTATGTGACTAATTTAGAACTAATGAAGAACAAGTGATTCTTACTTTCATTCTTTTTTGTGGTGCTGGGGATTGTGCATATGAGGCAAGAACTCTACCAGTTGAGCCTTGTGCATGTGAGGCAAGCACTCTACCAACTGAGCTCTATCCCCCAGCCCTGATTCTTTTTATTAACACTTGTTCTCATGTTATATAAAAGGGTTCTCAGTCTAGACAGGACCCAACAAGCAGTTGGATACCATTGATATATATTCCATAAGTGATCATGGTGTGTTTCCACCCAACTATGCACTTGAAGTCCTTGTGCATGTTAATTTCTTCCCTCAACTCAACCTAAGAAAAGAGTCCTTAGGTCAGGAGTGGTGTTATATCATGACTGCCAAATATGAGTTCATGCTCTTTGCTTCTCATTTACCGATTTAGTAGTCCACAGGGATGAGCATTAGTTTAATAAAGTCAGTGGAGGCTGAGAAGTGTCAGTGGATGGCAGAAAGCTTTGACTGTCCCAGGAGCCCGACACCTTGGCCCAGGCAGGCTGGTGGGCATCATTGTTGCCAAGGGATATTTTTTTCCCCACTATAACTTTGTCCTTTGGCATTGTGAATGGCCAGGTTATTTCTTTCTTTCTGAGAAAGTGACCTCATGTGTCAAAAGACTCCTGTGCCCTGCTAAAATAACTAGTCTCCCCTGCTGGGGCATAGTTAAATGAAAACATACTTTCATGTCACTGTATTGCCACTGAACAATAACTTAAATATTGCACTGTATTTATTTATTTTTATGGTGCTGTGAATCAAACCCAGGGCCTCAGTACGTGCTAGTCAAGTCCTCTACCCCCACCTCTTAATTCTGGTTTTTTTTTTTTTGTAACAGGGATTGAACCCAGGAGCTCTTAACCACCGAGCCACATCCCCAGCCCCCACCGCCCCCCCCTATATTTTTTTTTTCCATTTTAAGACTGGGTTTTACTAAATTGCTTAGGACCTCACTAAATTGCTGAAGCTGGTCTTAAACTTATCGTCTTCCTACCTCAACCTCCCAAGTAGTCACTGGAATTATAGGCATGTACCACCACACCTGGCCCCAGGCCCCTAATTCTTGATGTTGCAGTTTTGACCTGAGATGCTAATGTGGTAGCTGATCTCCTCGAATAGCTCACTGTACAAGGAAATGATGGCTGTGAATTGGAAGATGATGATACAACATGAAACTGCTCTTAAAATGCCAGCTGATCAAGAATTGGGGTAACCCTTCATCCCATGGTGTTCAGAAACCTGGGAGGCAGCTTCTAGATTGTAAAGGAAGCCTGCCTGTCCGTGGGATAAATGACCTCCTTCCCATTTAGACAGATGGGCCTAATTTGGTGTGCTCTGTTCCAGAACAGCAAAAGGCAGTCTGGGGAAAAAAAACACCACATGAGCTTAATTAGTTCTCATCAAAGGTGTAAGAACTTGGTGGTGGGTAAAATTGATGGGAGCTAATTCAAGCCAGGCTGGAAGTTGACTGTTCATTCTTTAAATTGTAGTTAGTGAGAAAAAAAAAAAAAAAAAGATCTCAAATTGGCACTCAGATTTTCTTTCTGTGAAATTCCAGGCAAGTTGTAGCAGTAAAGGGGAATTTCCAAACTACTGAACATCAGGTTAGTTTTTGCGGGATGTTTCACATGTCACTCACATGCTTCAGGAGTCTAGAAGTTTTAAGATTATCCATCATGTAGGCCAGGCATGTGACGCTCATGATTCATTTGAAATTCTCTTTCTCAGTGGTCAGCTCAGCATAGATTCAACTTCTGATGGTAGCTCACTTTATTGTAAAACCGTGGCTTTCAATCCATAACACTCCGTTTTATGACTTCTGAATTTTAGGTCTATTTCTAGACTTCCAATTCTGCCTTGGACCAGTTACATAAACTGCCTCCATGCTCATGGTTTGGAGCAGCTTTGGGTCTGCGGACCTTATAGAATGGGAGATGTCTTCAGAAGGAAAGATCCACCAAAAATGGAGGAAATTGTAACCTGTAGAAGCCTAAAGTATTCTAGAAGGGCAGAAGTCGCAGGATGTGTATTACATTGACAAACAGCCCTCACTAGGGAGAGTTTGTTTGATGAATTAGTTTAAGATTTGGTTTCATTTTAAATCTTGTGGGTGGATTTTGGGGGGCTTAATGAAATATTCCATAGACAGAAGAGCTATGTAGATATTTATGTTTGGCTTTAAAAACTAAAAAAAAAAAAAATGCATTGTCTGTAAGTGTTAATTACATGTCACCCAGAGAACAAACCAACCAGAGAGATAACCTGCCTGCAAAGATGCTTGATCTAACCTTGGGGGGGGGGGTTTTGATAATTGTGTTAGTAATTAACTTTCTGGACTAGATGTCAAGCTATTTCTTGAGGACCTAGTCACCCGGATCCTGATAATGTGTCCTTGGGGCCAGTTTTGATGACGCCAACAGGGAGTACAGATGGGTAAAAATTCAACGGTATAAGCAGAGATTCTGATTCAAATTTATAATGGTGGGGAGAGTTTTTATTTAGCACCAAATGGGCCCTAAAGGAATGCTGTGTTTGGCAGCAGCCACAGCCTCTGCTGGGCACTGGGACATTAGTGCTTGTGAACAGCAGGGAAGTTGCCCATATTTCCCCACATTTGGCACCTCCCTGAGCACTGTGTGCTTTTTTGGCTGGGAGAATCTGCAATCAGAAATGACAGCAGCTTTCCAGTTCCATAAGGGGCCCATCTCTAGTGAGGCTAAGTTTGACATCTGTCAAAGTGACACCCTGGCCAGGAAGGGACACACTCAAGGTGGCCTCTCATTACTGGCAGCATTCGATGCCTCTGCATCCCTAAGGTTGAATCTGTTTGGATGTTGGCAGAGAACGAGCTTGGATGGCTGTTGATGTGGCACGCTCACTGTTGATGATGACGTATTTGTCGGCAGCTCAAGCCCGGCCTGAGCTCCGTTCCAAATCGTTATCATAGCTCTGTGTGTAGAAGAGGAAGGCCAGGGCAGAGCCTTACTCGGTACTTAGGGACTAGAAATGCAAATGAAAGCATTGTACATTCTATGCTGCTCAGGTTTCTTGAGGCTGTACCCACCTGCTCCAAGTCCAGGTGGGAGTCCTTGCCCCCAGCTTGCTGCTTGGGTAGAAAGTAAGAAACGACCATGAACTAACTGTACAGGAGGAGTTGGACAGGGTTCCCATTCTGGCTCTTTCACTGGCAAGGTGCTTACCCTCATGGAGCTTCAGTTTCCCTATCTGGATAATGGGGATAAATTATCACATTCTTATCATGAGAATTGAATTTTAAAACTCTATTAACCGCAAGTGGCTTATAACTGTTTCTTTTTCTTCCTTTCTCTTCTTAGTTCAAAAATTCCTGCAGTAATGTTGGAGAGTATCTATTATTCATTAATACTTCATTAATATTTATTCACGTGAGTGCAGGGATTTTTGTTTTGTTTTTTAGCTTTTTGCTAAATATATAGAAACAGTATAATAAAGTGTAATGAATTTCCTGTGCCTGTGGCCAG